GCGGGCGCCCCAGCGCCCCTGGACCCCAGGGCGGCGGTGAGCTGAGGGGCGCGCGGTCCAGCTGCTTTGGGCCGGGAGGAAGGGAAGCCCGGGCTGGCGGGCGGTTTCTCGACTCACGCCTGTGGCTTTCGCAGCAGGGAAGGTCCACAGGGTCCCTTCTGAGCACAGACCTTCCCAGTTCGACAAGAAAATTCTGCTGTGGACCGGGCGTTTCAAATCGATGGAAGAGATCCCGCTTCTGGTCCCGTAAGTGTGGCGATGCTGAGGTCAAGGCGCCCTGGAGAGTGGAGTCAGGAGGGCGGGGGGTTGCGGAGCGAGTGATTATTCACAGTAACATAAGCCGCCTTCACGAAATTTTGGCCCTGTGAGGTTCTGGGACTGTAATTCTAAGGGAATAGCCTGTGGAGCAGCTGGTGACTTCGAACCGCTGACCTTGTGGTTTGCTGCCCAACGCATAACCACTACACCTTACCGCCCCCCTCCTCCCCACACCGTTTTACGCTGAGTGAGCCTAAATATCATTATTCGGAGTGCTGTGGTGCAGTGCAATAAGGCTTGCTCTGCTAACCTGTGCTGCTAACCGAAGGTTGGTGGTTCAAACTTACCATCAGCTACCGCTAATAAAAATGAGCCTGTCCGTTCCTGTAAAGGGTAGTGTTGGAAATTCTGCAGGACATTGCTGCTCTGACCTATACGTTTGCTATGGGTAGGGATGGACTAGATGTCAGTTGACATTCTTTACAGGGGGCAACTAAGCTTAGAGGGAGATGGCTAAAGTTGAATGGAAGCTCCCAAGTTCTCTGGGTACGTCCACCTTTGCGCGGATACCCCTCCCCCTTGAACTCTTGAGCAGACTCTTGGTGGAGCACTTAAGGCCAACCAAAATCACTCCTATGGGCGTGTAGTGGCAGCAGACCAGGACAGAGGCTCCCTACCTCACCCGAGGGCAGCTAGAGCCTCTCCTGGGAAGATGGCTACTTCGTGCAGGCTCCTCTTTGCCCACGGGAAACTCGGGGTCGACTTACCATCCAGTTTCTTAGGATCCGTGGGGTGCTTCAGCGTCTTTGTTCTCTTCACCCTCCCAAACCCACCAAGGCAGTGGCTTGTTAAGTGATAAAACTCGACCTAACAACTTCACCTCTAGACAACTTCAGTTTATTCCAAGCCTAAAATAATTTAGCAATAAAGTAAACTATTACTTATTAAAATGGACCTTAACCAAATAGGGAGACTTAAATCAGGTCAAACAAGGTTTGCAGAAGTTCTCTGTATTATATTTGTGCAATGTAATAAATGTCTATTTAGCAAGTAGGATGGAAACTATGCCTCCATCTTACTTGGCACGTATTGCTAACATCTTATTGGTTATTAGTTTAGCAGTTACCAAAAGCATCTCAAATAAATGGCAAGGAACATGTGTGGGAAATCTGTGCATTCAGTAATGCATTCTTAAACCCTTTCATTATTTTCTAGGCCAGGCTGGCTTATAAGGGATGGCTTATACTGTGAAATTTAAAATCTGCATTTATTCAACCATGGAGACATTTTTTAAAATAAAATGTTTTATTTGTGTTCCTTGACCTGCACAGACTCCATAGAGTTAAAGCACATATATGTATAGGCATACCTTAAAGATATTGAGGGTTTGGGGCCAGACCACTGAATATCACTAGAAAATATGCTGGATCGTAATTGTGCAATACGATTATTAAAAATTTTGGCCTAGTAGGAGAATTAGAAATAGGGGCCACAGAGGCATGAAGTGAGCGCGGGCTAGGGAGAATGCACTTACTCCGCACAGGGTGAGCACAACGCCTCGGTTTGTAAAAATGCCCAGGATAGCGAAGCTCAATACAAGTTATGCCCACGTGTTTAGCTGCTGACCTATTGAAGAACGTCTTGGTTGCTTCCAACTTTAAGACTTACAGAAAGATCGGATTAACTTCTTAGTGCAAAGCAGAGAGTAGCCTCAGGAAGTCGCCTCATCCCATGCTCTGGCTTTCACACTTTCACAGCATAGTGCGGTGAGTGGAAGATGAAGTCGTAGAGAAACCTGTACAAAATGAACAATAAAACTCCACCCTCCGCTTTGTGGCTTTTTGTTGCTGTGCCAGTAGTCAAGAATATAAAGAGCCAGCAGTCTTAGAAGCTCATGCATATTTAGACACAATATTCCAACACTACATTAATACAACTGAGGTGTGAGAAAGGCACAGTTCACAGAAACATTTGCATTTCCCTGAGATAACAGTCAAAAGATGTAAACAGTTATGAGCATTTAACCCTGGACAATATGCCTATCAAAAAACACTGTTGGAAACATAAGAGCATTTAAATATTTTTCATTTTGCAATTTCCTTAATTTTTTACTAAGCCAAACGTGAGACTTACCATGTAAACAGCTTTTACTTTTCATGTTCTTAATGGACACATAATTAATAAATGACCCAGAATCATCCTGCCCCACACTAATGATATTTTATAATAATAATGGTATCTTTCTTGTTTTTCCTGTGCTAAACTAATTTGGTAGAACAGATCAAATCCAGATGGGTGGATAAAAAAGATCAGCTCTTTTAGGTTCCATTTGGAATGAAAGTCAACAACAAATATAATCTAATAATGCCCCTCATCTTTGCTAATTGAACCTGCTTTTAACTAATATGTCAAAAAAACTTACGACATTCAGCCTAAAACCTAAGGAAACAAGCCAGATTCTGGTTTTCTGTGTTCCTTTAACTAGGAAAATAAAGTTTTAAATATTTAGGAGAAATTGTACTTTATCTTTCTCGAATGTTTTAACGTAATTTCACTCAACTTAAACTTGATATTAGACAAGAAATAATGCCTGAGAGCTATCAAGTGCTCTAATTGTGTATGTTTATAAAGTAAGACTTTATACTGTTGCAAGTAGTGAAAGCTTATCTGAAAATAAAAGCTTCACCCAAAAGCAAGACCAAACCCAACACAAACTTCAAGTCCCATCTGACTCCTATCGACCCTGTACGGAGATTCTGGAGTTGAAGTTTTAGCAGAGCCGAGAGCCGCAGCTTTCTCCCTCAAAGCACCTGCTGGGTTTGAAAGGCCACTCTTGCAGTTAACAGCCCAATGCTTAACGGCCCCACAGGTGTGATTATTTTTGTAACACTACTTTGCAAGTAGAATTGCTAAAATCATGGACAATGTGCACATAACTTTAGTATAAATAATAATACTTGATATTAACTAAGCATTCCATATCTAAGAATAATAATAACAATGAAGTGGGCACTTTAAAAATCTTTTTCCTTGACAAATTATTGTGATTTTGATCACTTATTCTGAAGACTTCCTGTGAGAGACATGAAGGAAACATCTTTTCTATAACAGTCTTTCTCCAAAAATGTTTGAGAGTCTCTTTATTCAGGACAGGATGCAAAGGGGCTATTAACAACACAAGAGATGAAAATGAGTTACAAATCTATCTATGTAATCAAGTAGGTTTTATTTTCAATTTTGAATATATATATATATATATATTCAGGTATCTATTCAAAGTGAAAAATAAAGCCTACCTGATAGTACAGAGGCAGCAGGTGTCTGGATTAGCACAAATGACTTGCACTCTACTACGAACCTAAAGGCTGGCAGTTCACAGGCTAGGCCGGAGCATGTACACAGGTACAGATAGGAGCTCAGGACACACGGAATCCAGGTCAGATAGACCCCTCAGGAACAGAAATGGCAATAGTGATACCAAGAGGTTAGGGGGAAGGTGGGGAGAGGAGGGGGGAAGAAGCCTCAGGGGAAGGAAGACAGCAGTCAGTGTAAAAAATGAAAATAATTTATAATTTATCAAGGGGTCATGAGGGTGGGAGGAGAGGGAAGGAAAAAAGGGGACCTATACCAAGGGCCCAAATAGATTGCAAATGTTTAGGAAATAATGATGGCAACATATGTACAAATATGCTTGATACAATTGATATATGAGTGCTATAAGAGCTGTAAGAGCACCCAATAAAATAATCTTTTAAAAAAAAAGGTGGGCAGTTCAAACTCCCTCAGCAGTGCCACGGAAGAAAAGCGAGGCAATCTGCTTACATAAAATTCCAACCAAGAACAGCCCGTGGAGCAGCGCTACGCTGCATCCATGGGTCACCAGGATGTGGCATCTACTCGAGAGCCAGCAAAACACAAGCTCACTGCCCCTGAGTTGACACTGCCTCACAATGTTCCTATAGTTAGAACAAGGTCAAACCACCCCTGTGAGTTTGTGAGACTGTAATTCTTTGTGGGAGTGGAAAGCCTCATCTTTCTATGGAGGAGTAGCTGGTAGTTTGGAACTGGCGAGCTTGCAGGTAGCAGTCATTACAATGAGTCACCCATTACACCACCAGGACCACACGTTTTGTTTTTTTTAAAGAATACAAGTCACAAACATACATATGTATTAAATCTTATCTTTATCCCAATCAGTTTAAGAGGATGGAAAGTCAGACCACAATCACTAGTAGGTACATTTTGAATAACCAGACACTCAATATACTCTTCTACCTTAGTGGGTAAGGTGATGCAAAGGAGTCCTGGAGGCAGTAATGGGGTATGTTGTGCTTTGAACCACAAAGTCAGCAGTTCAAACCCACCAGTTGGTCCGATGGAGACAGATGATGCCTTGTACTTCCGTCATGACTTACAGCCTAGACACCCAAAGTTCTGCTCTGTCCTGTTGGGTCGCTGTCGGACAGAACTGACTTGATGGCTGTAAGTTGAGGATTTTCTGTTTGATTTGTTTTTAAGGTGATACAAACAGTTAACCGATCTCCACTGCTAACCAGAAATCTGGGGGAAAGGCCTGGCAATCTACCTCCAAAGCATCTAGCAGCCACTGAACACCCTATGTACCCCGTGAGGCCCTATGCACACCGTGAGATCGCCACAAGTTAGAAAGGATCCAGCTGGTCAGCTATGGTCAGAATAAAAATCTCACTGCCATAGCATCAATTCCCACTTTTATCAACCCTGTGTAGGGCTCTCAGGGGCTTTATGGGAGCCGATAGCCTCCTCTCTCTCCCTCCAAACCGCTTGTGGTTTGAATGACTGACATGAAGCATAGCAGCCAACATTTAAAGCACAGCACCAGCAGCTCCTGAAGATCTGATTACCTGTTATGTAGATGTTACTAAAAGAATGAGGGAGCATTTATTCATCTTTCACATCTCCAGTTTGTAGTCAGGGAAATATGTGGAAGGTGTGTGTGGCAGGTATCTATCCTGCTTGTCAGGAGCCCACGTTACTTCAATATGTTTAACAAAATCTGCTTCTTGATTTAGGCCCCAACTGATGGATGCAGCCAGAAACAAGGCTCGAGTGAAAGTGTGCTACATAATGATTGGGCTCACCATCATCGCCTGCATTGCAGTGATTGCGTCAGCCAAAAGGGTGAGTGCTCTTCAAAACAGAGACTTGTGACCTTAAAGGCAAACTATTCTCAATTGAAGGATTATTGCTGTTCTTTCTGGTGGGGCCGTTGAGTAAGCTTTGGACTGCGAACCACAAAGTTAGTGGTTCAAACCTACCAGCTGCCCAGGGGGTGGAGATTGGGCGATCGGCTCCCATCAAGATTCACCACTTCAGCAAACCTCCATAGAGTCGCTCTGAGTTGTGGCTGATGTGATGGCAATGGGTGTGGTCTGGGTTTCTGTTCAAGGCAAGAAACCTGGAACCACCCACAGGTATCTATTCTATTCGGTAATGGATGTGTTCATGGGCATTTGAGTCAGCAAATTAATTAGATGGTCAAGAGAAGCAAAAACTCATTCCTACTTACAGAAGCACTAACAAAAACAACACGGTTTATAATTTGATTACGATCTTTGTTGTGTGAAGGCTATTTGGACTAGAAAATGTCTTAGGTTAGGCTATTGCATAAAACCATGAAGGAGTTAGAAGTGCACAAGTTGGGGATGATCACAAAGGTCTTTTTGTGCGAAAGTGACATGAATAACTTTTACTGAAATAACTCAAAAACCAAATTCACTGTTAGGGAGTAGATTCTGACCCATAGCAACTCCATACACTGAGTAGAACTGCCCCAGACATTCTGTAGCTGGAACTCTTTGTAGGAGTAGGTCTCAGCTTTCTCCCACAGGGTGGTTGGGGGCTTAGAACTCCTGGCCTTGTAGTTTGCAGCCCAACTCATAGCCCGCTGCCCCACAGGAGTCCTAGTCACGAAAACCGCACTTTTCTAATCAAAAAGTCTATTCTGTCTCATAGGAAGGACTACTATCTACAAAACTCAGGGACGAGAAAGGGTTTGCTATGTCTAGAAATAGAAGCGAGCTAATATGGACAGAGCTTGATGAGCAAGGAGAAGATGCTTTGACACAGGGAGGGGCCAGGTGGTATCAGGCCACATAGGTCATGGCAAAGAGTAGATTTTATTTTAAATACATTAGGAAATTAATGGAGACTGTTAACCAAGCGACTGATAAGATTTTTTCTAAGTTGGCCCTCCTGTTCATTCAACAGCTAGTAAGAAAAGAGAACGGAAGTGAAGGCTGCCCTTAAAACTGCACCCACAGAAAACACTGTGCAGAGTCTGTCAATGTCCACCAGAAGGAGGGGCCAGGAAGTCCCCGAGGTTACAAAGGAAGGCTCAACCACGTACAGAGCTCTCAATCTCCAAAGCTGACATGAGTGTCATAAAAATCGCAAGGAGGTCTGTTTGGGGAGTAGAAACACTGAATCTAAAATGCACACAGTAAAATAGACAAGATAGACAAGCGAATACTAAAAATATACAATGCTAAAGTCCCTGATGGCTCACACGGAGTACTATCTAGTCCAGAGTTTGTCATTTCAAGCCCACCGAGACGTGCTTTGGATGACAGGCCTGGAGATGTGCTTCTCAAGTCACAGCCTCAGAAACCCTGTGCGACGGCTCTGCTCTGCACACTTCGGGTACCCTGCGTCATGATGAGTCAGAAGTGACTTGCTGGCAAATACCTAAACCAACAATGTACAATGCGGAGGGAAGATTAACTCTAAAAGATACTGGAAGGAAACAACAATATTGGCATATGAATAGACAGTGAACAACAGTCATGAGGCTATTTACATGGAGATAGAATCTATTGAAGAGTTTAATCATAAAACGCTATAAAAGCACCTGCAGAAAATGTGAAGGAATTCTTTTTGTGGTCTTAAGACTTGGGAAGATCGTTCTCAGTATGGGACAAAATCCAAGAGGTATACACAAGGAAAGGCTGATAAAGTCAATTAAATTTTAAAAATTCTGCATGACATAATTACCACAACTAATGCAAAATTCAAATGGTAAGATGGGAATGCTACAATTATATTTAATTTCAAGAGCTAATTTCCTTAACTTAAAAGGAGCCCCTGAATGAATGAAAGAACCCCCAAGCCCAAACCCACTGCCATCAAGTCAATTCCAACTCATCATGACCTTCAATACAGTTCCCAAGGGCATATAGCATTACACGAGCAGATAACATCATCTTTCACCCAGGCAGCTGGTAGACTTGGACAACCTAATGCTTCCCTGACAGCACATCTAGGGCTCTTTAGTAAAAGAGCAGTAACTCAAATAAAAATGGACAAAAGATAGAGTTCACAGAAAATAGAATACAGATCTTCTTAGATATAGGTAATGCCCACTTCTCCTAGGTACTACTTCAGGCTTCTCTTTTCTTAGACCTCCACCATTCTCTTAGTGGATGTGTTTGTCCGGGTTGACTAGAGATACAGATCCAGAGATACTCATATATGGATAGGAAAGAACTTTATATCAAAGAGTAACTGTGTGTTAAGAAAACATCCCCGTCCAGTCCAGATCAAGTCCACAAGTCCAGTAGTAGCATAAAAGCCCAATACTAGTCCATAACTTCCTCTTCAGACTCATGTAGCCACAAGTAATGATGTTGGATGCAGGAAGATCACAGGCTGGTGGGTGATATCTTGTGGATCCAGTGGCAGTGGACACATCTCCAGGGCTCTGGCTGCCATCAGCGTGGCTCCATGTGGCTTGTCAACAGGAAGCTGAAGCTGAGAGTGGGTCCTGCCCAGGGAGTAAGGAAGTTCGCAGAATCCTCATGAGAAAGCCACACCCACAAGGAGGCATCATCAAGCTGTGACCTGATTGACAGGCTAGACTCCACCCCTTCCCTGTAATATCCTTGTGACATGAGATTATATAAAAATCACAGTGGATGACCTTTCTTCCAACCTCACTGTGAAAAGAAAAGCATTCAAAAGAAATGTTTCTACTCTCACCACGCACTGACCCATGTATCGGCCTCTGGCCATTACAATAGATTTGTTCCAATCACATGCCATCTGGCATTCTCAAAGACTTCATCCCAACGATGTTCAAGTTTCTCTTACCATTAGTCTTCTAAACTGCCCTAACATCAGATAGTGCCTCTTTGCTGAAGCTATTAGTCTATATGTATATATTTCCATCTTTAATCTCCATGACTGTTTTTTATCCCCTCCTCCCCATATCTTTTATTTTGTGCTGCATTTGTAGGATTTTCACAGATACTTCTAAGTTATGAATGTTGAATATTTGTTCTCTGTTCAGATTAAAGCTGGCTAGTTTACTTACCAGTGTCTTCAGCTGGTGAGATGAGTTTTAGTCATTTCATAGAAATGCCTTTTGATCCCTAACTTTCTTTTCTGTCCAAGAATTACAGTCCCAGTACACAATTGTAAAGGCCTGTGTGTTTTCTCTAAGGCTTGATGCCAATAACATTTCCTTCCACCCTGGTGTCAGTCTCCCGTTCTCTGCCAATTTGTGAATTTGAGTTCATTTCTGGCATCTGGAGCTTAATCATTTGAAAATATTTTTGTTTTATTATAATTAGAAGTTATAATATCCAACAAGCGCGTGTGTGTGTGTGTGTGTGTGTGTGTGTGTGTGTGTGTGTGTTTTAAGAGGGGCTAGAGGTGAATTCTCAATGTCAGTCCCCTGTTGACTGTAAGGGAAGCAACTTATGCAATTTCTTTACCTACCATTTTCCTGTAATGTTATTTGTTACAAATATTTTAAGTTATTTTCCTTCCTTTTCAACAAAATCTCTCCCACCTAAAAGTACTTCTTTCCAGAGTCACTGCGATTTGATTTTCTTTTTTTTTTGCAGGCTGTACAACGACATGAATCCTTAACGAGCTGGAACTTGGCAAAGAAAGCCAAGTGGCGCGAGGAGGCTGCATTGGCTGCAAAGATGAAGGCTAAGTAATGTTCGGAGTGACAGTGGGTTCACTTGACTGTCACCCCTACATCAGTCACAATAAAGGATAAGTAAAGCAGAACAATTGAAGTACTTGCCATGCTTTTATTCGGGTGAAAGGTAGCAGTCCTTTTTGCTGGTAGTAAATCATATAGTATACATTCAGCAAAGCACAGACAGTGTGTGTATACTCTGTGATAGGTATTTACAGTGAGCACACCTGTGTAGCTGCTGTCCAGGCCAAGCCGTCAGGTATCAACAGCACCGCAAAAGCTTCCTTTCTGTCCTTAATCCTTATTACCTCCGAAAGGTAACCACTGCCTGGTTTAGATGATCAGAGACTAGTTCTGCCTGTTTTTCAATCTTATATAAATGGAAACCCATAGTATGCACCTGTGTGTGTGAGTTCTTTTGTTCAATCTTGTGTGAGATTCCTCCACAAATTATGTGTGCTAGTGGTTCATTGATTGGCTCAAAGAATATTGCCACTAGGGGATGTATGTAGTTTGTACATACATCTATGGGTTTATTCTAAGCAAAACATGCTTACATGTCTCTGCAAGACAAATTCTATCAGTGATCCACTTGCCTTAATCTTGTTAGGATGCCTTAAAAAGGTCCTAAAGCAAGCAGTGGCTCTGTGAGGCAGTTTCGAAGAGTGTGGCAAACGGTTCTGGGGATTCTAAGGGGCAATCTTGATCACAAGAGCTTATCAGGGTGAAGTTCTATGAGAAGTGAAAAATGCATTGGTGCAAACAAGTGATGATAGTTGTACCCGGGAATTGTTTACCAGCAAGGGTTATCCTGTAAGAACTGCATTGAAAAATCTTATCCCATCCACCATACAGACCTAATATTGCCCTTTTAGACATTTTAGTACCCCGAATTCAAAGAACATTTAAAAGGTGCATGATTTGATGTGGTATAAATCTAAGAGTGTAGAACTCTTTAGAGAAGGAAACAATGCCTTTAGAAATATATAAAACTAGATGGGGGATATGTCAGATAACTGTAGCTTCACACAGGCAAAGAAAAAAAAATCAGTAATTGCATGGGAAAAAAAATCATGCATTCCTCTCTAGTAAATTTGCATCATTTCCCCACAGTGAAGCTAGTAATACTTCATTAAGTGAATGGGATCAATTCACACATATATAAATTAGGCATGTTCCCCATTACAACAGTTGGGAATTTGTAAAATAAAAGCAACATCCTGTGTTTATCAGATACTCTATACCCAAAAAGTGAATGACTTTGGAAAACAGGCCAAATTTTAGTCAATGAACACATTTATTTTGTATCCTAATTTGGAATACTCAATCACGGTGAGAACAAAGGAATTGTGACACATATAATACATTTGTAAAATAGTATTTTATTATTTTAATATGATGCCATAGCACTTCATAATATTGTATGCTACTCAAATGTTGGTTTATTTAGCTAGACAAAAATACCGTCTCCGCATTCCATCCCCCAATCATAATTAAAGATGCACCATCTTTTAAAAGCCCTCTTTTTTTTTAACTCTAATGCTATCAATTGAGTAAAGGGCCACCACAATTCTTTTGATTTCAGTTTTCATCACCAAGCAGCTAATGGATTGCTGAATTTAGAAAATAACAAAAATTCATCAGGATTGCTTTCTAATTATTTTCCTATAATGCTTCTAAAAGGAAAAAACATGAAGGCAAAGGTAATGCTTCTTTCAGTCCTTTATCCAACAAATCAACTTTAATACGTATGAGGGCTACCAAATGACACATGATTTCAATGCCAGTAGATCTTATTATTAATTTAATTATTAGTTTTGCCATATTTTCTGTCACTAAAAAATAGGTTCTAGAAACAACCTTTCAAAGTAAAATGTATGTAAAAACACCAGATCAGTGAGTTAAGTATTCACTAAATGTAAAAGAAGCAAGCATAGTTGCATAGTTTAACTAATAAAAATTTAAATCCAGGCAAAATAAAACTGAGTTTGACTAGATGAATGAGAAGAATTCTTTCATATATGTCTCTGATTCTTGTACTACTGTTGCATGCTGCCGACATACGAACTGGGGCCGGCTTTCCTCCACCTGTGGAGCTGGGGGCCTCGTCTTCCACACCCAAGCAATGTTCAATCGGGTCAAAAGCCTTCTGGTAAATCTCCTGGTTTTCATGGCTTTGCTGAAATTCAATCTTATCCAGACCTATCATAGATACAATATGCATACTTAAAAATAAAATTGTTACCCAGGTTTCAGCAGTTAGAAGGGTAAGTCCAAAAGTCTTGCTACAAAATCATTGTACTAAAAGATCACTTGTAATAACAATGCTTGTATGAAGCAAAAGGTCAAATGTGAAACTATTCGTTTTTGATATAGCCTCTGAGTTTCATTTTCTTAAAACAACTTCCTTAAAAGCACCCCCCAATTTTTGTGTCCTTTTAGAAAATCTATCAAGCTTACTCCTTTGTAATAATAATAATTAAAGAAACCAATGTCAGCATAACTTTCTGAGCTCATAACCTCTCCGGCTTGAATTTAACAGGCATAGTAGATCCCCGCAGATGGAAGTTTCTTTTGGATCTTTTTTTTTTTTAAGGTACTTGAATGACATTAACACACGTGTATTACCAAAAGAACTTGTCTGTAGCCACCTATGAGTTATAGAGAAATATTTAAGTATATTTTGCTTGGATTAAGCCAAGCATGTATGATCTGGAAACTTAGTAGCAATCTTTTTTGACTTATATAAATAAAAGTAATATATCGATAGCATACATTCAATCTATCAGCAATGGGACTACGAGTTAAATCTAGTTTTGCACATACCGAGAGCTGACACCTAGGCCTTACATTTCCAGCGAGTATGGGGCCCTGTGGTAATACAGGAAGGAGCAGGGCCTGGGAGGGAGAAACACTGGATCACAGACCCTATGCTGTAATCCTGTGCCTGAGACAAGAAAGCTGGTACCTCCGTATTTTCATTTCTCAATTTTAAAATGATAGTCTAGATTAAGTAAACCGAGAGATCTTTTCCAGAAATAATCATGCTAAATAACAAAAGCACAACAAGAAAAAGCAAACAAACCAATCACACACAAACATAATCATACAATGAATACAGAATGAAGGTCACCCATGAAGGTCACTCATGGTGTTTTGGTGTTTATTATCTAGCTGCTATATGATTTCCCAAAAGTAGGTTCCATAACTGAAATGGGAGGTGGGGGGGGGGCACTTTGGGAGCATGAAGGCAATCTGCAACAACTTTTGTTTCATTGTTTACAAGAAAAGGAGCCTACACATAACGCTGGCTTAATGCTGGAAGGGTTTCTCACTTAATTCAAGTCTCTTCAATGGACTCGTTATAGGTTGGAAGACAGGAAAGAATAAGTATCTATAATGACACATAATGATAGAATAGACCAAAGCCTAGAAAATAAATGACTACAATAACGAAGTGTTCTTAAGCTGGCAATTAATATCTTGTATTTATTCAGTTTTAACCAGTGACATTATGTGAAATGTGTGAAATCAAGGTAAAGAACTATCCTAGGTGTGGTTTAGAATCATGAATTAAATTTCAAAGCAACCATATAATATGAGGGAGATTAAATAAAGCTGAGGGCATGAATGTTTCTGAAAATAAATTATAACGAAAAAAATGCATCCCTTATCCCAAATTAAATTTTTTGACTTAAGTTAAATGTTTTAAGAATCCAGCAAACAAACAAAAAGTCAGGCCAACAAAAATTATTTTTCACTAAATCTCTGGGGAGGGGTAATGACTTTTTAAACTTTGAGGGAATATATTAGACTATATTATTTATTAAGTAGCAATGAATATGGTTTGCTTTATTGAAATAAATAGGTAAAAACTGGGGGAAGGTCATATTCATTGTAGATAACTAGAAAATAAATTAAAAGATTAGAAAAAAGATTCAAATAGGTAATGGATGGAATTCAACGAGTATTACATTTTATTGAGGAAATATACATACAAAATATACACAGGTCTCTACATGAAAGGCATATACAACGACCTGGAGATGCTATCTGTATCTGTCAGCAAAACAAGCGGGAGGGGAGGGAGCAGCTTCATGTACTGCCAGTGCCACTGCCAAGTAGCAGAAGCCTTGGGAAAGCAAAATGAGAAGACTATCAAAAGCTCAAAAGAAGTCTGTTCTCTAGACTCAGCAATTGCATTCCTGAACATTCATACCAAGATATTAATTAAATAGAAGAATAGTTACAGGATGATAGTTATTTTGGCATACGCAAAAGAGTAAACAAATTGGGAATAAACTCAGTCAACTAAAGGAGTATGACTAAAACATGATAGAATAGACCAAATTAACTCAATATAACATTGCATGGTTATTAAAAATCATAAAAATTATACCCAATGGTAATGAAAGTAGCTATATTCTATGTACACACATACATACACATACTGCATTTAATATAAAATATGTGTGCGTAAATATTTGAGGAACAAAGATAATAAAAATAAATTAGTAGGGGTATCAAATGAAATTATTTAAAATCATTTCAACGTCTTTGACAACATATAATTTTAAGGATCTAAAGGGAGAAAATTCCTATGGTCGATAAGACTTGGCTATAGTAACACAACTTTAACAGATGCTCTTACCATATGCTTCTTCAATGAGAGCACAGTATGGATTAATGCTTATGCCATTCTGCTTAGATTTTTGTTCTCCAAGATGTAAAATATTTTCAAGACCATTTAAAGCCACTTGGACTATTTTGGAATCCATAACAATCAAAAGGTCACAAAGAGGTTTAAGGCAGCCTAAGGCTGCCAAATCTCTTCAGAAAAATTGAAAACAAATATGTGGAGGAGGGGTTGGAGAAAATGTTTACAAACGACACATGAAAACACTCTTCTTAGTGAAATGCTCTATAAAATATTAGCCAAAGTATTCCCATATATATTCAAACATTACTAATTTTTAAATCACTTTAGAACTTTCTTTACCCTCCTAAGCTCATAATTTCACATAATTAGTACTAAACGTTACTGTAAGCATTAGGAAACACATTGACACACAAATCACACCTGGTTTTGTATGGTATGGAAACGCTACGAAGAGTGTTTTGGTCTATTTTTAAAGTGGGTCAATGGACACACACCGGGGAGTGGGTCATATGAATTAGATAGAATTGGAGAGGGAGGCCATCTAAATCAGGACATTTCTCACAAAATCATGGCTAAAGTTCTGAAATCTCTGTGTTTCAGAAGCACGGAAGGTTTATGGGAATAAAACAGATCATCTTGAAAAAGTGATCAGAAATAATATTAACAAACATGATTCCACATTTCCAAATGCTTATCTTTTTGTAGATGCTGTGGGTTAGGCATGGGGCTACTAGCCACATGGCGAACTCCAGCAGCTGCTCGGCTGTCTCAGAAACTACCTCGGGTAGCTACCATTAGGACTGGACTTCATGGCAGTGCGGTTGATGATCTCTTTCTCCAATCTTTAAAATGCAAATGAAGTAAACTGCTGCTCTGTTCTCCTAAGAGAAAGCACAAAGGTTAAAAATAAGCTTTGTAATCAGACTAACTCATTGCTGTGAGGGTGATTGCAACAGAGAGTGATGCTATAGGGCAGAAGAGAAGAACTGCCTCATGGAACTTCTAAGGCTGCCCCTCATTTTACAACAACACGTAGAATGGTCTGGGTTTTTGTTTGTTTGTGCATCATATAACTCAACTTAAAATGTATTGCCCTCGGGTTGATGAGGACTCAGAGCACCTCTACAGGGCAGGGTAGAACTGCCCCTGCAGGTTTCCAAGACTGCGACCCTCCTGGTTCTCGTGCAGCATATCATTAGGAATCCATGTGACATGCAACAAGCATGTATTTGCTGATGTTATCATTTAAGATGTTCACTCAAATATGGTGAACGTTATGATTTACAGAGATTCTAATAATAAAAGGCAAATACTCATGAAATCTAAAAAAATAAGGTATTTGACTTGCATCAAAACTGACAGAACACAAGCTCCTTGTAAATCAGGGGCTGTCTGCAATTTCTTCTGAAGAAGACCGCCCGTCTTTCCCTTGCAGAGGGACGGTAAGTTCAAACCCCCGACCTTTTGATCAGTAGGCATGCACATCTTACCCTTGCACCACGAAGGCTCCTTGAAGGCAGATGGCACAGTGCACGGGCTCAAGTTCCAAAGCCAGTTCTCACTAACTTTGGGACCTTGGCCAACTTCTGTGCCTCAACTTTCCTGTGTGAAACCAGGGAAGATGATAATGCCAACCCCAAGGGGTTATTGTTAGAATTAAATGAGTAAATACAGTTAAACATGACTGAAGTTAGCACCATTCTATCAGGATTTAAATCTCAGCCACACTACTCATTAGCCAAATGAAACAATTAACTATGAGATACTTTTAAGTAAATTATTCTCTCTGAGCAAGAATTGACTCAGTGGCAATGGGATTGGTTTGTCTTTGGTGTGAAACTGAGTTTCCTAACCTATGAAAGAAAGACACCAATGATTTCAAAGATTTGTTATCATTAAATAAGAAAATTTAAATTACCTATATTATTTAATATCTATTCATTAAAAGTTAGTTTCCATTTCTTACAATAAAATGTGTAAAGGTGTACACTTCACTGGAGTACTTGCACACCTTGTACTGCAATTAATCAAAAATATGTATTGAATGAGTAGCTATCTCACAGAGCAATGACACTAAAGAGATAAAGTACGTGAAACAAAACTGTTGGTTCTTGGTAACACATGATTTATCTAGCACAAGATCTAAAAACACTAAACACTCAACAAGTAACAGTTGAATACAGGCTGAATACAATCTGATATCTAAAAGGCCTCTTCCTATATATGTAGAGTTATTGAAGTAATTTAAATGATTAGAAAAAGAATTTTCAGTCTATGCACTTGATTTGTACTAATAATTATAATTACATATATAATTCTGAAAATACGCAACTACTTATAAGGTGAACAAAGAAACTTTGAACACAGAACAGATAAAAATAACACTCACCTTAAAAAAATGCAAGGTAGATAAAAGGCAAGACATAGTTTCTTATCAATTATACTCAAAGCAAAAATGAAGTAAAAATATTGCTTGAAACAAAATGATGAAAAAGAGCACACCAATATGTTATCAATATAGAGATTTCAAAGTCCTATGATTTGTAGATAGCATTGTGATTTGAATTCTGGCTCTACTAATTTAATAACAAATTTTTAGAAAACATTTCCTAATCACTTCAAGAAACCTAAAGTCTTGATTTTCACAAAGGGGTACTCTGAACATGATTCTGTAGGAAGTAAGGTTTATAACGGCAGTGATGGAGTTCAGCCTGTTTCCAACTGCTACCTTGTGGTAAACCACCCAACTCATCATCACTATGTCACCTGGGCTCCTCCTGTGAGTACAGCTAAATACCATTATTCCAACCCCAACGATGCAGTACATTGAGGGTTGGGCTGCTAACCAAAAGACCGGTGGTTCAAACCCACTATCTGCTCCCTGGAATAACAATGAGGGTGTTTGTTCCTGTAAAGATTACAGTGTTGGAAACCTGTGGGACAATGCTGCTCTGGTGAATAGAATTGCTATAAGAACGGACCAGATGTCAGTAGGTTATCCAGCCTTTTGATGACTCTCTTCACAGTGGACAGATAAGCCGAGAGGGAGATTGTAGAAGGTGACTGAAAACTCCCAAGTTCACTGGGTCCTTCCAGCTCTTGGTGGAACACTTAGGGTCAACCGAAAGCACCCAGGTGGAGGTAGGGCACCAGACTTGGACAGAGGCTCCCTGTGCCACCACTCAAGGCCTTGGCATCTGGGCAGCTAGAGCCTCTCCTGCGAAGATGGCTGCTTCCACAGTCTCCTCTTTGTGAGTGGGAAGACTCAGGGCAGACTGGCCACGAGGTTTTCTGGGACCCATGGGTGCTTTAGTGTCTCTGCCCAAGACATCCTCCAAAGCCCAAGACAACGGCTTAAGTCAGTGGTTCTCAACCTGTGTAATGCCGTGACCCTTTACTACGGTTCCTCATATGTGGTGAGCCCCCCGCCCAACCATAAAATTATTTTCGTTGCTACTTCATAACTAATTTTGCTACTGTTATGAATCAGGCACCCCTGTGAAAGGATCGTTCGACCCCCAAAGGGGTCACAACCCAGAGGTTGAGAACGACTGCCTTAAGTGGTAAAACTCAAGCTGGTAAGCACAGAGGAACATTATTAAATCAACCCCTTATGCAGTTAGCAGCCCAATATGTTACCCACTATGCCACCAGGCCGTGTCCAATCCATATTTAAAAACCAAGCCTCACGAGCCGTGTACCGCACCTTATTTGTTCTGGAGCGCCCCCTGGCGTGGCATTCGGGATGGCCCCTGGCAGTTTCTTTTCTAGTGCAAAATTCTGCTTTTTGAAGAATCTCAATCAAAACAGGAAAAATATTTGCACCTCTAACAGCCTGGAAAAAATAGAAATGGCAACAATGCAAATACTTTAAAAAATATTATGAAGTGTGTGGAAATTCAATAGTTTTAAAATATCAAAAGATTTTGGAAATATCTTTGTAAATATATAATTTTTAATTCTGTCAGCAAACTTTTAAATGCTTTCCTTTAGGAAGAGAAAATTAACTTTTTAAAAACTGGAGAAAATATCAGCAGGATATAAATTTTAAACACAATAAAGTACAAAACATATGAGTTATCAATATGGATAAACAATCACCAACTCAAGTAACTTGACAGGACCTTAATCATTTATTAAAAGCCTTTAGAGAAGATCATTATCTAAGTGGTTTAAAACTAATTAAAATCAAATCGCTTTTTAAAAATTATTAAACATCAGGTAATATGGTAGGCCTTTTTATATACCAACATTATTATTCTTAGAATACTACACTTAAATTATTATTTCAGAGGGGACTAAGTCATGTGCTTTAAGATTTCTTTCAAGAATCTTTTTTCAAGAGACGTTTTTAGTAACTCACGAGAATATAGCACTGAGAAGTACTGATTTTTCTGTAAACAGTTTCTGCTTAGACCTTCTTGTTGTAGCCTCAGCTCTAAAAGGTATTGCCTGAACCTGAGCTGTTTCCAGCAGTTGTGTTAGAAACAGTCCAACAGGCTTCTTTTCTGGTTGATTCCTTTGGGCTAATCAATAAGTGTAAGAAACAAGGTAATGCAGAGCAATTCAAAATTACCTACAGCAACAGTAAGAAGTAGAAACAATAAGTTTCATCGCAAATGAACGATACAGAGTTCTAATAAAACATTAATAGAAAATATGAAAAATGAATTACTAAATCCATCTCTGAGTAAAACCTTTAGGACTTGCTGTCATCTACCTCTCTGCTGTTGCCAAAACTTGTCTACCACTGTTATAGTGAGGTGCCCCATTGCCAACCCACTAACATGCACAAAGAGAAGGAAACTGTTGTGTCCTTCAAGCTGATAACTACATCCAGAGCCCAGCTGATATCTGAAGATGTGTCAACATTCTTCTTAATAACTGTTTCTATCTTATTCACATTCAATGCCTTTTAAACACTGCTCACATATTGTTGCCTCTGTATCTATGGCCACAAAACCTCCATCTGTTCTCTCTCTTTCAAGGTCTAGTTCCAACTCTACTACAGAATCCACAGTTTACTTCATTCCACTGAAATCGTTTAAGCCATCTTTTTATACCATCTCTGACATATTAGCTCACACAAAACTAACCTATACATATATGCTCATACGAGGGGGTACCAAAAAAAACCAACCAGGAATATTTTTCCAAAATTAAGTACTTAATTTTTTTTTTTTTTACAAAACAGCCATATCACCTTCAAAGTACTCTCCGTTACACTTAATACATTTCTCAAATCTGTGATTCCATTCTTGTAAATATTTTTCAAACTCATCTGTTTGGATGGATTTTTTTCTTCACCGCTTTTAAGTCGTCAAATTGCTATCCTATCATGTCCCTCTTCATTTTAGGAAACAAATAGAAGTTGCCCAGAGTGAGGTCAGGTGAGTCAGGTACATGGGGCAAGAGAGGCATGCTGCTTTTTGCCAAAAACTGGTGCACTGAGATGGCTGTGTGAGCAGGTGCGTTGTCATGGTGGCAAAATTAGTTTCCTGTCTGCCACATCAGGCCTTTTTTTGTTGCTCAGTTATGCAATCTTTTCAGGACCTCTAAATAGAAAGCTAGATTAACAATCTGACCTGGTGGAATGAACTCCAAATTTTCATTCTTTCAGGAAGTTGATGGATGTCCAGAATGAAGTTTGTTATCAATCAACATTTCACCTTTTTAGAAACAAAAAGACCACTCATACCCCTGAGTTTTTCCGATAATGCTGTCCTTGTAAACTATGTTCAACATCACAACAGTTTCTGCGACATTCTTCCTGAGCCAGTAACAAATTTCACAGTCACACGTGTTCTCTTACATCAGCCATGACAAAGAAAAGGAGGTTTGAGGGAAACTGCTTTTATGAAAAATTTCACTGTGACCAGAGAGAACCTTCCCAGGGGACATCACTGTGTGCACTAACTCATGAGTCGCTTAATGCTCAACTAGCGGGAAAAATGTGTCCTAGAAAGCTCCATGCAGGGGGCTTTTTACATATAGATTTTTATACAAAATCTACCACTTTTGTAAGTTTGTCATACTGCAGTGACTTTTATGTTCTGATGCTAAAAGTTATGGCACAGTATTTCAAAAAGAAAAAGCAGGATCAATCATGATGAACAGATTTCAGCAGACCTTCCAAACCAAGATACTGTAGTCTCAAATGCTTTCTTTTTTTAAAAATCGTTTTATTAGGGGCTCATACAACTCTTATCACAATCTATACACACATCAATTGTGTAAAGCACATTTGTACATTCATTGCCCTCATCATTCTCAAAACATTTGCTCTCCA